CCCATCAAAGATTGATGGTATCACCACCGCTGGCTCCTAAACCGTTGTTATATACAAATAATTTTTAATTAAAAAACAAAAATAATATGATAGCGCCTTAGTTTAGACATGTCACCACGGTGTAGGGAAGAACCGTTGTGATCATGACGTTGTTGTTTACACGTTTTATAGTAGTGTGTGTTTCAAAATGGTTTAACAAATGCTAATTAAAATTAAATGGGATGGCTAAAAGGTCGCAGGCTAAAAAAACATGCCACAGTGTGTGTAAATAATGCAAATGATTGTAACAAAGAACATACACAAGTTTTGAATAATGAAGACATACACAAATTCTCTCTCATAATGACACAACATGTTTAGCTTTATCTGTTCCTCACCAGGTTGGTTAAAGATGTTAGCTTCCACACTACATCTTGTTTGATGTGGTGTCATAGTCAGTTATGATAAACCTATTACTCTCAATACAACTTAATTAAACCATATTAGAACATTCAGAAGTATATAAAAATTATTTTTGTGAGTTGACATGCACGAGGACTAAAAATAGCTATGTGGGATGATTATTATATAGCCACTATTTTAGTATGAAATGTCAGATAACCAGATGGAAGTAACCTAACATAAAATAAACCAAGAAAAATCATACAAAACTAAGAACTTAGTTTACAATTGAAAACTATAAAATAAACTAAAATAAATACAAAGTAAGAATACCTCTATTAGGTTTCCTCCTAAACAAAAATCGTTAATGTCATTAGCTTGACACATCCTCATCTATGTTATGGCAGGTATTTTAGCTTTCAAACCTTGTTACTTTTCTTTTTCGAGATGAAAAAATCATCTTTTCCAGAGATAGAGTCCACTGTGTGCAACAAGTTACTTCATATTTCCATAGCCTTACTTCGATGTTTCTTTTTATTTTTTCTCTAGACTTTTTGAATGGATTTTTAAGTTTTTTCTACTCGGAGGTGCTGATGGAGATGACACCATTTGAGATGTTATTATTTAGACTTTTTCTTGTGCCAGTCTCTGAATTTAGCTTTCCACACATGTTTTTGTCATGCTTACTTGATAGCGATATATTTTTTCTTCTTTTTGCTTGTTTTCAAGTACATTCATTTTCATTTCATCATCATAAACTTTTAAAGTGAGTGTATCGTTTTCTAAAAGAAATCGATATTTCATAGACTTGTAAGAAAGAAAGATTGACCAAGAATGAAAGGTGTCTCTTCATCTTCAAGCATGTCCGCGATCATAAAATAAATTGGAAAGCTAAACTTGTCTATTTTAACCAACCCATCTTCTACTATCTCATATGAATGCTTTATGGAGTGATCTGTAAATTTTAAATTCATCATTGTATCACTGACTTTCCAAATACCAAGTTTTTTATAGATTAACAATAACATCAGGCTCACACTAACTCCTGAATCAATTAGAACCTTCTTGAAGGTTCTATATTCTATAATATTCTATACTGCATAGGATTGTGACATAACTAGGATATGTTCGTTTAATGAGAATTCTCCTATCTTGTGATATTACATTACACTTCTCAGTTAAGATTACTGGCTCATCTCCTATTATTCTCTTTTTAAAAATTATAACTTTCATAAATTGTTGGTACATGGGCATTTGCTCGAGTGCTTCCAAGAAAGGAATATTAATCTGTAACTTTATGAACATTTCAAGAAATTTCTCAAAAAGTTTCTCGTTTTGATTTGTCTTCTTCAACCTTTGAGGATAAGGTTGCCTAATCATCAGTTTGGTCTCATTATTATTTTTTCTCTCAATTGGCTTTTTTAGGAACATAACTTCTACTGGTTCTTTCTTGTTCTCCATCACTTCCAGATCTAACCCTGTAAAATGATCATCATTTGTTTCCTTCTCTTCTTCATCTTCAGCGATCTTTTTACTTCTTGTTATGAAAATAGTAACATTGATATGATCTATGAAATTTGTGAAATGTGTTGCTTGAAGTACTCCCATGGTATTGTTGTGAAAGCTATAGTTCTTTTTGAGTCACTCCCTTTTTGAATCTTTGCAGATAAGGCAATCTGATTTCTAGCTTTGGAAGTTTTTATTTTTGATCTTTGGTAGTATCAACATTGACACTCATGATTTCTAGGATTATCGGTGGTGTTTCTTAGGAGATTACCTTGATTTTTTTGTGAAAGTTGTTGAGATATATATCCCCCCCCCCCCCCTCGAACCTCTAGATTTTTTTTAATATGTGGTGTATTGTTTCTAAAGCTATTTCTTGCCTCTTCTAGGAATTGGGCATTATGAGCAGTAACTTTTTCAAGAGCTATATCACAATATGCTCTCTTAGGGATTAGTTGTTGATGTTAAAACTTTTGTTGATTCTGACATTGCATTGGCCCTTGACGATCTTTCCAGAAAAAGATTGGATGATTTTTCCACCCAGAATTATACGTGTTAGAGTAAGGATTGTTCTGCATGAGGTAGTTTACTTGCTCTACTTGTGGTATATGGGCTTCACAATACATAGCAAAATGAGATCCACTGCAAATCTCACAACTAATTAATTGTGTCGTTTGGACTTGAGCTACCTGCTGAATACCTATGTTTAGATGCAACACGATCTTCTAACTTTATTGTTAGAACAATATTTGATTCTGCTGTTTATCTCAAAGTTTTGATGATAACAATATAGTATTTGTGTGAAAATAATTTTGGTACTCTAACGGTTTGTTATTATGAAGTTTTAACAAATAGAGTTTGACTCTGATAGATACCATATGCAACGTCATGCTGGTATGACATAAGTCGCTTCTGCACCAAAGAAGCAAGTCTGCTACTGTACCTACTCACGTCCAGAAAGATTCTAAGAAGACAATATGTTGCTACTGCAATGCTCTCTTGGATTCTGCCTTTGAGTGTGACTCTAATGATTTACTTCTGAAGGCTTTCTAGCTTCTGAAGTTGTCCTTTTCTGAAGACTAAGTGCTAAAGACTCTGAAGACAAGGTTCTACTGAACAAAGTTCTAAAGACTAAATGCTAAAGACTCTGAAGACAAGGTTCTGCTGAACAAAGTTCTGAAGACTCTGAAGACTTAAGTTTCTGTAGACTAAAGGTTTTAAAGACTAACTGCTGTAGACTCTGAAGATAAGGTTCTGGTGAATAAAGTTCTGAAGACTCTGTAGACTTAAGACTCTGAAGACCTAGTGATCAACTCTTCTACTCGTGCTTCAAACATCTCTATTCAAAAGCCTCTGATGTACAGAAGATAAGATCAAAAGTTTACGAGGGAAATAGTATATAATACGTATAAAAAACATTCCATTCCACTACCCTGATTTTTTGGTGAAAAGGAAAACTTTTGTGTACGATTTTCATCCCTACGTAACGACATTCTTTCAAGTAGCCATCTCACTCAAGGATATTCCTGACCTGTCCTCCAACGGATCTTTTATTGGCTATATAAAGACTTAATAACATGAAGAAAATTGCAAGCAAGTGAGTGAAGCACAACAACACAAGAACACAACAATGAAAAACTCATATTGTATGCAAATTTTCTTTAAGTCTTTTTAAGATATTCATTGTGTTTATATGTGCTTGATTAGAAGCATCTCATTGTAAAAAATTATCTTTCACAAACTGCTGTTTGTAATTCCTTAAGGGACCAGTTATGTCAGAATCCTTAAGAAGACTTAGACATTTAGCCTTTATGGTTGTTAGTCACCAGCTGTTGTTAGTGCAGATTGTAATCAATTGATTATATTAGATTAAGTCCTGGGATAAGGAAAAATTACATTGGCGGGTGGACTGGATTAGCTTGATAGTTTTCAAGTGAACCAGGATATATCGTGTGTTTTTCTCTCTTGTTTAGTTTCTTTGTGATTTCTGTTTGTTTTATAAACCTAATTCAAACCCTCATTTCTTGTGTTTTTGTCACACCTTCATTTATATCCTTAGTTGCTAGTTTTAGATCAATATCCCATTTCAGTTTGCTTTTGCATCTATCATACAAATCGAGATATTCATTTGCAGTGATGGCCTCAATAATCTTTTTGATACCAGTGACTGTTGTAAAATTTGATGAGCCACCAACAGTTGTATCAATTAATTATTTAGTCTTCAATTGAAGACCATTAACAAACATTTCCATTTGTTCAATTAGATATAAATTGTGAGTGAGGCACGCGACCAACAACCTTTTGAATATTTTAAATGCATATCTCCTAATTATTCACCTTCCAACTATTTAAAATTGAGAATTTTGTATCGTTTTCTAAGGAAGATTGAAGTAGAAAAATATTCATATAGAAAATCAATTTCCATATCTTCTCGAGTTGTGATTCTATTTGTTGAAAGTGAGTAAAACCATGCTTCTGAAATAGGAAAATATTCATATAGAAAATCAGTTTTCATATCTTCCCAAGTTGTAATTCTACTTGTTGAAGTGAGTAAAATCATTCTCATCTATAGTGAAATGGAACATTCTCAATTTCTTGTTTTCTTTTATACGCGCTTCTATCTTTAGAGTTGTACTCGTTGTCAGAAACCTTTGCACATATTTGTTTGCATCTCTGTTGAATTTACATGTGAATGTTCTTTTCTCTAACTGACGAATGGCCGTAGGGTGTAACTGAAAATAAAGACATTCACCGATTAATTTATTATTATCAGTCTACTTCCTGAAACGTTTGTAACAACTTATTTTATCACTACATGTTACTCATTCTTAAGAATATTTATTCCCAAATCCTAATGGATAGATTTGTTTTAACTATTCAAATCTATTCCTATAACAATGAATTCAAGCATTTACTTATATAAATAGTATTTACCTATTCAAATCAATTCGTATTGAATATTGATAGTAGATGATAAACATGGAGCCTAAAACGTTTGATTGCAACAACACAATAATTCAAACTTAGCACATCTTATTTATTTATGAATTTATATAGACATTCACATTATTATTTAAATAGTGTTTAACCTATATAATTAAAACACTAGCAAATATTCAACAACCAAGGTTTTGAAGCAATCCACCATAACCAATCCTTTCCACAGGAACACACACCAAATCATTAGCCCTAGGAGCAGTCAACCCTGGCCTTTCATTCCCATCAATAACAATATCATCACCCTTCATAATCTCACCATTACAACCCACAACATGAAAATCAAAGCACTGTATTATAGCACCAAACAAAGCTGGTAATACTTGCATGGCATAACCAACACTAGGGCACATCCTTCTTCCAGACCCAAATGGCAAAATCTGAAAACTCAATCCTTTCACATCAACCACCTCATTGGAATTTCCTAAAAACCTTTCAGGGTTAAACTCTAATGGTCTGTCCCAATATTCTGGATTTCTTCCTATAGACCAGTTATTCACGATGACTAAACTGTTTTCTGGGATCACATAGTTTTCCATATTGCAAGTTGTTACGCATCGTCTAGTGATCATAGGAACTGGGGGATGGAGACGAAATGTTTCCTTCATTATGGCTTGAAGATAAGGAAGATTTATGCAATCAGATTCATCTACTAGTCTGTTTTTTCCTACTACTTTCTCTATCTCTTCACGAGCTTTTTCAAGCAATGAAGGGTTATTCATTAGTTCTGCTAAAACCCATTCGGTAGCAATTGCTGTTGTGTCTATTCCTGCAGTGAAAAGATCCTGTGGGAGACATCCGTATGTGATTAGAATAGATCTCAACATTCTATAGAGACAGACATATTAAGAAAAGAAACAAGTAGGGATGAATTTAATTACCATAACCAAGCCTTTAAGGTGAATCCTTTCAATTTTTACTTCACAATTCTCATCCTCGGCACAATCAAGTAAGATATCAAGAAAGTCTCTCACTGCAACACCTTCATCACCTTTGTTTTTCACTTTTTCTTTGTTATTCCGCATTTCCTCTCGTTTAGAAATAATCCTTTCCACAAAAGTATCAACTTTTATAAACAATTTCTCTATTCTTTTCCCAAACCCTTGTAAATCAAGCTTTTTAAGCCACCAGATAAAATCTGACGCATTAAACTCCCCGAAAATTTGTGTAACATCACGCACAACATCCCTAGCTTCTTCGGCTTCTCCCAACATCATTTTAGAAATGACTTTGTTTGTCAACTTAAGTAACTCTTGAGCCACATTCACCGTCTCATAGTTTTTTGCTTTCTCAGCGAAAAGCTTAAGAAGAGTGTGTGTCTCGAGTAAACGCAATTGTTGGAAGTTGTTAACGCTACGAGCGCCTAAAAGCTCGCTTGTGGCAAGCTTCTTAATGAATCTCCAATAGTCACCGTAAGGTGCAAAAGCTAGAGATGAATCGTAGGTGAGTCGCTTAATGGCTGCCGAATGAACACGACTATGAAAGGCATGTTCCTTGATTTGAAGGATTTGTTTTGCCAAGTAAGGAGTGGATGCGACAACGACAACAACAGAACCTAAATTAAGGGAGAATAAAGGTCCATATTTGTGGGAGAGGCTGTCGAAGGATTTGTGAAGAATAGGACTTAGCATATGCATGTGGCCGATGATCGGAAGTTTAAATAGAGGAGATGGAGGGAGTTTTTTGTGGCGGTTTAAAAGTGGCCGGAAAATTATGCAGTAAATGAGTGATGAAAGAAAGATAGTAAAGACTAATAGAAAATGTTCCATGATTAGTAAGTATCTTAATTAAATCAAAGAATATAGCTGAATAATATGTATCTCAAGACTATATATAGTGGACAAATAAACACATTTATATCTATAAAAAAATCTAATGCATTCAAAGCATAGAAAAAACAAAAACACATTTATATCTCTATCATTTATTATTCAGATTTATTGTCAGGTTATCAGTGATATTTTTATAGAATACTTATATATATATATATATATATATATATATATATATATATATATATATATATATATATATATATATATATATATATATATATAAATAAATAAAAGCTTGGAGAAAAAACGTAATGGGTACGAGTATTGCACACATAACACATAAAAATAGTAGCAGACAAGTATATATTAGCTGCAAGCAAGCAAAAAAAATTAGTAACAGACAAGTATATATTAGCTGCAAGCAAACAAAAAAATAGTAAGACAAGTATATATTAGCTGCAAGCAAACAAAAATAGTAACAGACAAGTATATATTAGCTGCAAGCAAAAAAAAATAGTAACAGACAAGCATATATTAACTGCAAGCCAAAAAAAAAAAGATAGTAACAGACAAGCATATATTAACTGCAAGCAAAAAAAAAAAAAAAAGAAAGACAAAAACTCTTACATTAATGGAGTTTAACGTGGGCAAGTAAGAAAAATCTTTTATGTTAATACTTCTTGACTTTTTAGTTAATATAAAATGAAAAGTTGAATAAGTTTTTTAATAGGTTAAATAAATGAGAATAATAACATATGCATAAAGATTAACAATAATAATGTTAACTTTGTCACATATGTTAAAGAGTTTTTTTATATATTTCAAGCGATTTAACTATAAGCAGAAAAATTCATCGATCGATTATATGAAATTAAAATATTAATATTTATTTATTAAAGTTATGATTTAGAATTTTAAAAAAATAAATAATTGGATATTCTTTTGTATCTCACACTTTAGTTTACAACTCTTAATGAGATAAATTGTGGAGTCTTCATTTATGCTTCTGATGGGCATAACCATATGATATATATAACTATAGTCTCTACTCATTATAGACTTAGGGTTTAAACTCACACCTTTACTCACACCAATCAAGTTTCAGATACTTAACTTTTAATTAAAAGAGATTACTTAACCAATAAAAGGGCTTAATATGCACCCTATCATAACCACGATTAATCCGTTTTTCACAAAGTAAATAACAATTTATTATAACCCATAAAAAGTTAGATAAATCTAACATTCTCTCAATGGGCAAAATCAACTGTGATTTTTATTTTAAAATACATTTGAAAACGACTTCATCCAACAAAATACATTTTAAAAAAATGTATGATTCCAGGTGCAGTGTCTGAAATGACTCCATCCAACAAAAGTCAGGTAGTATTGAATCATATCGATTATTATATCCTTCACTAACATAAAATATTTCGTGGTTACAAATACTACGAACTCAGTCAAGTAGTCATCAGTGTGGAGTGTGGCAAAAAAATAGCATTTCAATGTGATCCAACAACCAACTGCTATTTTCTTTGTCAACCTTAAACAATTCTCTCAAATGCATTAAAATCAAAGAAATTGCATGATTTTACAAACCATAATGCCTCAGCTCCAATATGGCATCGACCACAGTACAATGGTTTAGACAACTCCGAGCTTACACTAGTGTAGAAAGAGAAATTTACACCTGTTATTAGAGGGTGTAAATTCAAAGGGTGAAAAATGTCTGACAAATTTACACCTGTTTAAAAAAGGGTGTAAATAGAATGTATATTACACCTTTTTTTAAAGAGAAAATTGGTGTAAATTTTTTCCAATATACATTTAAATCAAACAAATTCATGCCCAATTTGATAAAAATGAATTACACCATATTTTAAGAAAATTGAATAATACTTACTACGAATGTCAACAAATTTACACCATATTTTAAGAACATAGGGTGTAAAAATAAAATATATTACACCCTATTTTAGTTATCACAAGTGTAAAATATTTGATAATTATATTATATTTAATTTCATATACACCATATTTCATTCAACCAAATATTTTTGTATTCCGTTGGACATTAAGTAAAAAAATACCTTATAACGTGTGTAAAAGAACTCTTTATGTTTCAATATTATTTTAAAAAAATTATTAAGCCAAATACTTTTATTTAACATTCATTCAACAAACATATTCTAACATCATCATATATAAGTCATACATGTAAGTATATCATATGAGCCAATGTATATTGAAGACTCAAAGATTTGAGCAAATTTTGATAAAACATGATGTTGCACAAGATCTTTCAACAAGAAGAAATCTGTAAAGAACAACATGTCAGACAAGATGTCCTAACACTGTGGACTCGACATCGCTGTCTGATGCAACATGTTTGTTATAGATTTGTTCCAAGATTTAAGGTGTAATCAAAATGTGGATCAAGGAAAGATTGGACAGAGACTTCGTAGCCCATGGACTGCTGAAGGCTATAAAAGGAAGACCAAGACCTAGGACAAAAGAGATTGTAGACCTTGTAACCAATTCTTGTAATCTAATTATAAGGGTTTAGGATTTTGAGAGTCATGTACTTTTTTGTGTTGTAAGTCACCCTTTGTATCAGTTGATACATTGTGGTAGACATAGTTTTACATATTCAGAAACCTGTAGGTAATGAATTGTATATTGTTCTTGGATGAAGCTTTTCAGAAAATTCAAGTGTCATTGTTAGTCAAGATTCTTGACTGAATTTTATATTGAGAGGGGTGTCTCTTAATTGAACAGTTTGATACAATCATCGGGGGTTGTGAGTGTTAGATAACATCGAGGTGATTTAGGAATTGAGATGTGTTTCTCTTATCTAGATGGTGATTTCTAGATAGAATTTGCACTGGGTAGAGATTAAGTGAGGAGTTGTAAATCGAAGGTTGTTTAGTTCTAAATTAATACTAGAAATAGTTAGTTTATTCTTGGCTTGGTAGCCCCTAGATGTAGGTGTTGTTTTTCACCAAACTGGGTCATCATATCTTGGTGTTCTTTATCCATCTATTATGTTAAATTTAGTCTACTCTTTTGTTCTGAAATATATGTCTTAACAGATGTTGAAACATCGGTCATGACACTGTAATGTATTTCTAGTATTTGGATGTTCCTATTTTTAGCCTTGTTTAGTTATGCAGAGATCAATGTCTCGACATCTCTTGGGATATCTGTGATCTGTACACCATAATTTCATATATCGCACTCCACAACACTTTCCCAGAATAGATAACACGCGTCAAATTTTGTAGGCTACTCATTAAAAAGGTTTACATATGCTGTGGAGAGTTGAATGACATATAACTTACAATAAAATTGAATAAATAGTTATACTAAAAATGACAATTAAAGTCTCTGGAGCCAAATCGCCAATAGCAAGGCGTAAGAGAACAACTTTGGCACCACTTTAGACACATTGTGAGATAACCTATGTCCTATTAGTGGAATTCCAATGAAACCTTAAATAAAAATACATAAAAATTTGAAACTTTTAAATGAAAATACTTAATTAATTAAAAACATACTGCTTCACATACATATGCTTCAAATATATTTTACAGAGTTTGACACTGTTAGGACTAGTGGCCTTGCCACATAGATAAAACATAAAATAAAAGTACAGAAAGGAAACCAAAAGAAAACATACCAACAAGGACCTCCTAAGTCCAACAAGACTGACACTTATACTGACTGTAGTAGTAGGGATATGATCAGCGTTTGACAAAACACTAACTCCCAATCTAGATGTTATAATAACATATTTCCACGTCACTTCATATCCTTTCCTTCAGAACTGTCGGGAAGTAAGCAAGATTCGAGCTCGTCGTCTGATCGTCATAAAATAATCCAAAATGCAAAACAAAAAATGACACAGGGCTAAGATTCACATACAAGTTTAAAAGTTGGAATGAATGTGTAAAATAATAATATATATGGCAATCATATTTATTCAAACAAACGTATCTTACACCCACAATTACATATACTTTATTTATTCTAATGCATCCCTGAACTATATGCTGACTCAGGCCACTAAACGCTGTCAATGATATCTATCCCATTTACCAAGATCAGATATCACAAGACCACATGCCACCAACGTACTCCCAATTACCAAGAGCTACGCCACCTAACTTCACATGGAGCCTAGGTGTTATAAGTCGATCGTCCCTGAGAATTCAGGCCAAAAACCTTGTCTTGCTTAGCATGCATAGATAATAATCTCCGTCGGGATTATAGGCGACTGATCAACCTTGTGCGTCCCATACCGCACGGCAGTGGACTTACACATTCCTCCATACAAGTCTATATGATCACTCAATCATCTTGTGGAAACTCTCAACCATAAGTATTAAGTTAATAATGGGGAATTATCGATCAACTTTTCAAGTTATACTTATTATCTAGATACTTAGGTTGAGTACCAAATCCATCAAACGTCTTGCGACATTTCTTTTTGGCATGATCTTTATCCTTACATAATCAGTTTAGTTTGTACAATGAATAATTGTATAGTTAACTTCTCAGGTAAGAGAGGTGGACTGTAAATGACATAGTCGACCAAGTCTTTCCTTAGCCAGAACCCAACCAAATACAACTACTCAATGTATCCAACTTTCCTTTTGTTATTGGGGATCAATTACTTAATATCTAGCAATGTTTTTCTCTCATCAACCGATTATTTCCTTAGTCTATCAATCACAATCATTCAAGTATAAATAAAATAAACAATTAGAAAATTAATCGAATAATGCAAGCACAATACAATATCAAACTGTCACATATTATTCCTATGATAAATGATTAAGGCCGACGTAACCTCGCCTAGTGTTGCACCCCAAAATTTCCCCAACCTTTTCTTACCTGGTTTATGTTTCATTGCATTAGCATATCATCATCATAGCATTATCATAGCATTGCATTAGCATTTATGCAGGGGATCAAGTGTGGTATATATCAAA